CCAACCAGCACTCAGACAGGCACGGCCACACACACACTCAAGCCAACCAGCACTCAGACAGACATGCAGTCCAGCAAGCGTGCACACACAGACTTAGTAGCAAGCGGGAAACTCAGCAGGGCATTCAGTCTATGGGCAAAACTCAGAAACCAGCTGTGTGTTTCAGTCCATGTTTGGACGGGTCATCACACTCCTCTTTTTCTCATTGTCACGTGGTGTGAGCACTTGATACGTGTCGCACACCTGTATCTCAGATAGGCATGGCGCAGAACCAAGGAATCACCGAAGTGTGGAGAAACAACAATGTGAGCAGCGAAAGACTGATAAAAGTACAAATCTGACTCATCTCACTCTGGACATGTCACGTACGTGCATCATTACTCAGGAAATGGGTGAGGGCAGGCTCATACGAGGAAGATGCCTCCGTGCCCCATGCACATGGAGGGGAGGGAGGAGACGACAGTGGGACAGAGAAGAAGAGAGAGAAGAAACAGAGACCCAACTCAATGTATCTGCCTAATGATAACGGTCTCTTGCCATAGTCCCGAAAATTTCTGAGTCCAAATGTCATGTCCCAGTCTGGGGTCTCTCTCTCTCTCTCTCTCTCTCTCTCTCTCTCTCTCTCTCTCTCTCTCTTGTGAACGCGCGAGAGGGAGAGGGAGTGGGAGAGGGAGAGGGAGAGGGAGAGACCTCCTATCTCTCTAGCACTCACACTAGTGGTGCTCCTAATGCTACTCCAGCAGCATGCTGAAGTGTGACCTCCAAACATTGTGTCCCCATCTAGTCCTGGCCCAGCTAGATATAGTGCTGGGCCAGTAAACATTGTGTCCCCATCTAGTCCTGGCCCAGTTAGATATAGCGCCGGGCCTACTGGAACGGTGTGCGGCCTGAACCCAGGGCCATCGGATGGATGCATCGATTAAATATCCTGGATGTAGGCTGTGGGGATGGTCCACAAACCAGGCCAAAATTGTGGCCTGTCTGTGTCCCAACCGGGCATCCAGGCGCCCTGCTCTATCGAGAGAAGGTTAACGGGTCGACTAATATTCACCATTTACATACGTGTGGAAATTTTTGAACACCGTGGGGGGGGGGGGGGGTTGGATTTTTAAGTATTTTGAGGACCTGTCTCTTATACACATCTAGATGTGTATAAGAGACAGCCTACATGTCAATATGGAATCGGTCACAAATGAGCATGCATATACAGTATCTTCACCACTTCAAAAGTTCAAAGTTTTCAGAATCTTCGATGTTATTAATAATACTTTTTAAGTTAATATGGATCTAGACTATGAAAATTCTGAGAATTCTGCAGTGGTGACGGTGCTGAAAATTATGGACACTTCCCTTTAAAGAAAACAAAGCAGGGGCAGGGTGGGGTAGTTCAGAATTTTCGGCACCTTTGAGATCATTGGAACCAAGTATCAGAAAGGGGGGTACGGCACCTTTATCAGAAAACTCTAAAATCGCTGAATCTTTTCCACTTCAGTCTTCAGAATTATTCTCAGCAACGATTCAGTGAGTCGTTGACCGCCTGTCCCTCTACAAGGCCAGAAGAGGTGGCTGCAGCATTGGGAACCACCCGAAATGAAGTCTGTGCAGCCCAGGGCCCAAAACTACCCCAATGCCGGGCTTGAAGGACTCATGTGGTATGGTGCATCCCGCATGTCTTGCCGAGTTCTCCTGCCTTTGAGCTTTGTGAGTACATGCATAGTGATGAGGATGTGAGCGTCAGTCGGGCCTATTAAATAGCTTTAGTTGATAAAAATTTGGTTGTTGCCACAATTTGCAGGAAGGGGTTGAATTTGGGCATCCAGTGTTCAACGTGTCTCCGGTTATCTTTCCTCTGTACTAAAACAAGGAAGATTTGCCTTGCCTGTTTTGCAGCTTCTGGAAAAATACAAATCTGTAGATATGGAGGAGTACAAACAAATGAGGGCTGAGCTGTCTTCTCTCAAGGTACGTTTCTTGTTTTACTTTTCTGTTTCCCTTGCTATTCCATCCCTTCCCTTTTCGCATTCAAGTTCCATCCCTTCCTTTTTCGCAATCAAGTGGATGGTGTACCTTCTGGGCCAGATTGTGTCAGCTAGCATATCTCCATCCTGCCAAGTGCAATATGCAGCATTAACTCTCTTCTGCCCTGTGTTTTTCTCCGTGGTTTGTTGCTCGGAACACAGCACGTTTTGTTGCTAGGAATACGGTACGTCTCTTTTTGTATGTGTGTGTGTTGTTCCTTGGAACACGGCACGTCTCTTTGTGTGCATGTGTGTGATGCCTATGCTCCTGCCTATATTTGCAAAACTCAGGTGTCTCTGGGACATCAACTTATCATGCTTCTTATAACGCCACTGCCTTTCACAGGCAAACTTTCGCAATGAATTGGTTTACATCCGCATTCTTCGGGGGCTTAGTCCCTTGGACCTCTGGCGGCGCTAGCCAAATAACTGCTGAAAAAAATGTGCTGCGCCGGTTCATACAGTGTTCGGCGTGCAGCACAAATCGGCCTCAAGAAAAGTGGACTTGGAGGCAGTGTGGTCTTGTTACGTTGCTTATCCGGATGTTGGCATGATATTGCCGCCGCCTCCCTCTCCCCCACCATCTTTGCAGCTAGCGATCAAACACACCCATGTGTGTGTACATGTGTAGATTCTGCATGCCAAGCTAGAGAGGAGCAGAAGCAGCTCTCCAGCTGCAAGGTGAGGAGGTTGCGGAATCTGGAGTGGATGAGGGAGGAGGCGAGGGATGAAAGGGTCATCTCTCTTGTTATTTTGCATACCATGCACTCTCTCACACACAGCAAAGAAGTCGAGGTGTTGACCAAGTGCTATACTGTTGCCTTTTGCAGACTTAATAATTTGAGACCCTGGGGTGCCATGCGGAATGTGGGCAGCTGTACCCTTGTCCTGATGGAGGGTGAGGTCATCCCATTAGTAGTGAATTGAACTGAATTCTGCATTTGTCTGCTCTTCTTGATTAGGGAATTTAATACAATTTATTCAATTTAGGTTCAAATTTGTGTCACTGACTGTGTTATGTCTTCACTGCATTCAGGAGCATCTCAAGGCTGTGGAGCAGGACATCCGCTCTGCGACTGCAGCAAGGGCTGAGGCAGAAGAAAAATTGGCAAAAGCAGAGAAGGAGCTGCTGAACTCTGCAAGCAGGCTAGCTGAGGTCGAGAAGGAATTAGAGGCCTGTCAGGTGCGTTATGTTACAGTTCGCTTCTACTTCATCTCTGATACTTCACAGTTCGTTTCTACTTCGTCTCCGAAACGTGTACACGTGTTAGGTGGAGGAGAAGGAAGTAGAGGGGCCTGAATCAACATGTTGGGGACCTTGTAGCTTTGTCCCTTAACAACTAGCCTCCTGACATCGGGAGGTAGTGACAATAAATAACAATACTGGGCTCGTTCGAATCCGGTAATTGGAATGAGAACAGTCGTAAACTCCCAGTACGTCCGGCGAATTCAGATGAGCCTCTCGGAGAAGTTAGGGGAGCTGGGACAGGGCCCGCTTCGGGGCGGGTGGAATGTTTGTTTTGTTTAGGGCCGGGCCTAGTGTCACCCCACGGCATGGGACAATTTTTTTTTCTTTCTGCTCTACTGGCCCTTCATCAAAAGCCCTGTCCCGAGCCTCCAAAATTTTAGTTTAGGAGAGGCTCAATCCAATTCTCTCGACTGGGCTGGGGCCATGTACTGGTGGTTTAATCAAGGGTCCATTGGAGGACAAATCTGGTGCCAGCAGCTGTGGTAATTCCAGCTCCAATAACTCAAATATTTAAGTCTGTCGCTGTTAGAAAGCTCGCATAAAATCAGAGAAGGCTGAGCACATCTGTCGCCACGCGACGTAGTTGTGCCTTACACAGAAAAATAAGATGTGCTGGTACAGAAGACAGGGGCAGAAAAAATGAATGTCAGATGCTTAGCAGGAGGTCAAGGGATCAAGCCTGGGGCAGATCTGTGAGATCATATGTTTGCTAGGAGCCTTCTAAACTGGACTCAGGACTGAGCATGAAATGACAACTTAAGATCACCCACCATCTCATGTCCGAGGCTTGCGATCCAGAAACTGAACTGTGAGGGATTTCTCTCTTCTTCTTGGTATTATTGTAGCACTTCTTGGTGTTATTGTAGCACTTTGTTCTGTTTGCCTCAAGTTTGATGTCCAGATAAGCTCATTTCCCTAGCAAAAGCTACTTGCGACATTTTAAACCACTAGTATGCGTGGGAAAATAGCGGGCGTCAGGTGGGCCTCCGACCTTTTCGGAGGCCGAAATGAAATGATGGCCGCCGGTCAGATTTATCAATGGCAGCCGTCATCGGGCCCGGCCTCCAAATTTTTAGGAGTTTGGGAAAACTGCCACTTTTCCCTATTTTGAATTTTCCCAACACTGGCTGATTCAGGAGTTTGGGAAAACTGCCACTTTTCCCTATTTTGAATTTTCCCAACACTGGCTGAGGTACTAGTGGTTTAACGTAGCAAACTATCGGTTATGACACTCTTTGGAGAATGCTCCTCATTGGTGAATGCCCACCTAACCAGATAGCAGTCTCTCCATTGCTTGTAATTCAGAATCGATGTGATGTTGATTGCTTTTGGTGTTCTGATTGTTTGTTTGTCTTGTCACTTTGTATGACAGGCCAGTGTCAAAGACCTTCAGATCCGGCTTGTGAATGTCCGACGAGCTGCCAACAAGCTACAGGTTTGTATGGTCTGTTCACCCTTGTGAAGTTCTTTGGGTTGGCCGATCACACGGGATTTGAACCCGTGACCTCTTGATTAAAGCAGTGCTGGGTGTCTACCATTCAGCCACTGGTCGAGCATTGTTTGCTGTCGTCCCAAGAAGATAAGAGAGGCCATCGCTACGATGCTCCAGTAATCATATGTACACACTTGGGCTGTATGAGTTTGGCCAGGTTTGATCAGGATGACGTGTAAGTTAATGAAAGGAGACGGCCGTACCTCCAAACCTACGAAATGAGATGCAACATGGAAAAGGGTGAAGAACGCTTGTGTATATGAATATGTCCATGACGAAATGACAGTCACATTATTCTTTATCTGGATGGTACTCATGATTTCAGCATACCTAGAATTCTTTTGGGGATTCTATGTATGTCACCGTATCCAGAAAGGAGGCGAAAAGCTCAATAATTCAATAGGAGCATCGGCAGAACCATACCACACAGTTCCAGGTACTATATATAAAAGCTGCAGAAAACTCTGTTGCTCTGCTACTTACAGTTTCAACATTTCCTATACGTAAAGCATTATATAAAACCCTTGAGGACGTCGAACGTACGTTTGGTAGAATACAAAGTAAAAGGTGGGCATGCATTTGTGGGAAACGGAAGTGCAAAGTCTCTGATCAGCACTGATGAGAGGCGGTGTTGACTCTTAGTTATCAGGGAAAGAGGGAGTTGGCGTGAACCGTAAGAACGCTCTGCAGCGATAGAGAGATGATGGGGGGTGCAGGCAAGGGAATGGAGATGAAGCTACAAAGGGTGGACATTTTGTGTTGGGTTGAAGGCTACAGCCATTTTGTTGGACTTGCTACTTCTCCATGTCAATTCGATGCAAGCATAATGCAAGCATTGTAATTGCAGGGGAACTTCCCCCGAGGTATAGGTTCATTCGTGGATGGACCCGTTTTCCAGCAGGTGTTGCTCTCCACCAATAGATGGAGCCTTCCCGGGGGAGATGGAGGCGTCTGCTCATACCAGCGCCCCTAGCTCCCAAACAAGCAGTTTTGCCAAAACAAAACAAAACAAAAAAAGGTTCATTCATGGAACTTTGTTGTCTCAACCTCATCAAATGAGAATGTGCCGATGAAAACTGAAACATGATACTAAGAGGAAGCTTGCTGCCATCCGGTAGCTATGAAAATGAAACCAAATATGCCAAACGTCTGTGCACCTATGCTTGTTCGGGATCCACACTTGGCCTGGTCTGGTCGAGGGTCAGCACCTGGTCTGATGATCTGATCCGACGGTCCAAGTCCACTATAACCACGGAAATTTCAGGGTGAATTTGCATCATCATGCGACGACTGATTAGTTGCACCCATGGAAAAGTAATAAAATATAAGGGTGATAAATTGATAATTAGTGGGGGATTTGGGGAGCCACATAGCAGTTAACAATAGTTTAAACTTTAAAGCCATGGGGTGAAGGTTGTAGGCAACATCTCGTAGCAGACAGATGTGGTACCTATGTAGAAAAAGTCAAAGGTTTGATTGTTGTGCCTTTGAGATCTCCCGATCGTGACGGTCTATAGACCATTTATGTATGCAGTGGAGAGTATTGCAAGTACAAAAATAAGCAATAAAAAAGCATCCTCAAGTGAGGGTTTCAAGAGGAAAAGGAAAGACTTGAGGGGTCCTTTGTTTCGGCACACCGTGAAATGTTCGAGATGGCCTTGTGCACAAGCTGTGGAAGTGGGAGGTTGAAGTTTTCTGTTAACATCTGTTTGGCAATGCAGAGGGAAAAAGAGTCAGTCACGAAGGAAAGGGATGAGCTGAAGTCGACGGCAGAGAAGGCTACGGCGGCCGCAGAGGCTGCTTTGCGTGATAAGGGAGTTTCAGATGCTGCAAGGCAAGCAGCAGAAAGGCATCTCAAGGAAGATCGTCTCCAGGCTCAGTCCTTGAAAGCCACAGCACATGCGGAAGCACTGGTGGATGCTCAAAAGGAAGCAAGTGCAGAGGCTGAGATACTCTTGCGCACGGAGAAAGAGGTCAGATTGCTTGAACCTGTGCTTCCTATGCTAGAGATTTCTCTTCCTTCTCCTCCACACCCATGTCCAGTGTGGGCAACAGATGGGTTCATTTGTTGGAGTGGCCCGTTGTTACCCGTTTGGTTCTTCCTTGGCGATTCTGTGAATGACATGGAAGGATTCTCGGAAGGTCGCTTCGGAAAGATGATGCGATTCTGGCATCGAAACTGAGCTGAAGTCTCATTGTTGTTTGGCTGTCTTAACCTTGGGTATATCAACAGAAGGTGCAAAAACTGGAGCAGGAGGTGCAGTCGTGGAAGCACAAAGATCAGAGGACAAAGAACAACGTCTTGGTCGCATTTCAAAAGGCCAAGTCGGTAAGTAACCTGACCCTAAGACCTGCATATGTATGAGATGATAGGAAAGACCAATCAAACTCGGAGATAGCTGGTTTTCCGCGAAATCTATTGAGGTAGAACATGCGATCTTCATTGCAAGAGGTAGACCACTCGATGTAGTTAATTCTTTTGACTTGTTGGCAAGTCCCTGTACAATGGCATGAGACAGGGATTCCAGATGCAGTACATAGTCTTGAACTGTGTTGTGAGGGTGACATGAGGGGGGATCATCCCCGTATGCCTTCAAGACGGGCACAACTTTTTTTTGCTGTGTCATGGCGGCGTCTATCTTTTGTCTTGCAATCAAAATCGCAGGTTCTAGCGGGCGGTAAACTAAGCAGTTGTTGTGTGTGTTTCGGTTCCTCCGGGGTTTGATCCCTGGACCTATGTCTAACGGGGACTGCTCTAAGTCTGACTGAGTTTTGAGGTCCCCAAGCCTTGATCCCCGTACATGTCCCTTGCAGGGACGTTTTCTTTGCTGCTGTAGTTTCTAGGCCCGTGGTGTTTGTTTCTTTCCTTTTTGCCTGTTTGGAGTCTAGGTTGAGTCAGGCTGTTTAGTCGGTCCTAGCAGTCTGGTAGGCTGTGGAGTCGGTCGAAGTAAGTCTAGGTTCTACAAAAATGGCGAGGCAGAAGGGGAACGGTTTCGTTTCTTCATTGCTCTTTTCACTCGAGTGCTGCTGGAGGTGCGCCGGACATGGCTGCACTAATTTCAGTTGCGTAGGGACGTTGTCATCGCAGGGAGATGACAGCCAGAGCTGGGCTGCACAGCTCTGCTATGTGACAACGTGCAGGCGTAGGGCCCTGAGTGCTGTAGGGCGCCACCTCCTTGCTGTCCTGTTGGGGTTTGACAGGTTGACTTAGACGCCCTCCATTGCAGGGTTCTATGAAGTTGCAACCATCTTCATCTTCATTGTGTTGGTGTTCTTCTTCTCCATCCTGGGAGTTGCGCCGCCTGCTGTGTGGACACGTCATCTGTAGGGGACTTCATGCGGGCTGCAGAAGTTTCTGTTGAACGCAGGAGGGGTGCATGGTGTTGGAAGGCTTGATAGGTTGGGCGCTGTCTGCGACTCTGCACCATAGCTAGAGCTTGGTGGCGAGGGAGGAAGAAGAAGACTGCCAGTTACTTCAATGAACTTGTAAATAATTGGGTTCTGGGTGTTGATAACGTGGTTGGGATTCTTGGAGACGGTGCGTTGATTGGATGGAGGGAGAGGGGTATTAATTAGAATTGGTCAATTTAAATTTCAATTCCATTTTGGGTTTTAAGTGCTTCCGCTGTGTATTCCTCATCCGTTGTGGTGTGAATTGCTCTCTCCAAGATCTCTTGTCATTGCGCATGTGTATGGGAAAGTGTGAATGCCATGCTGTATCTCGTTTCAATCAGGCACATAACATTCTGATGTGAGATACCTTTTCGTGGAGGCCTTCTTATAGATTCGCTGGCAGTTTACCATTCACAAAAGTGAGACAGTTGGTTTGTTACTCGAAAGAACAGGTTCAGTTGCGTCTTACTTGCGTGTTGGTGTTGGCTTTGTATCATCATGGTCGCAGGAACTCGATAAGTTGAAGAACGAGCTGAAAAAGATCCAAGCAGAGAGAGATGCATACAAGCATGTGAGTTGTTCAGTTGGAAAAAAGGAAGACAACGATAACCGTCGACATTACTTTTGCGAACCGGGTCTATTCATTTGTGCACGCCGATCGGTGAATGGCAAGTTTTGGGTGATGATTCACCTTGATTTTCCAATGTGGATCCTTCAGCAGTTGGTTTCACTTTGCATGCCATCAATCTCTCTGCCAAATGTGTAGTGTATTTATTCACTGCAGGGACTCTGGTATCTTGCAGATACGTGGCGAAGCTGTCAAATATGTGTAGCATAGCTGCGGCGCATTGCATACGCGCCACTCGCGCACACGTGCCGCACTGCGCATTGCTCACGCGGCACGCGGCAACATGGCATGAATCTCTCTGCCAAATTTGTTGAGGTGTTTTGTATTCAGCGCAGGGACTCTGGTATTTTTCAGATGTGTGGCGAAGCATTGAGTGGGTAATACTGTCGTAAGGGATGCTGGACCCAGTTCCAGCTTTTACTCGTACAATTGAAGTGGTTTCGTCGGAATAGAAAAGAAAAACAACAACAACAACGCTCAATACGAGTCAATAGTGAGAAAGTTTGTTTGTACCTTGGCAGCAAAGAAAAGGATAGGGTTCAGTAGCATCGTACTTGTCTGTTCTCCTAATCTTAAACAAAAAAGGGATAGTCTATGACATGCTGGCATTGCTGGGTGTGTTGGCATAACATTAATTACTTGGTGCCCTTTGTAGCACCATAGGAATAAGTTTTCAGCGTAAAAAAAGAATTTGCAGTGAGCCCAGACTTCAAACCAACATCTCATGCCACACCTAGAACACACTTCAGCACATGAGAGATAAAAACCGAAACAAGTGATATGAGAACTTGGATTTTTCGGAAATAGACCAAGGCTGGGCGGCTATGGCTGTCAGCAAGCAACAACCAAGGATGCACTCTCACTCTTGACCCTGAGGCCTCACAGGTTGTATACACCAAGGCCGGGCGGCTATGGCTGCCAGCACACCACCACCAATTATGAGCTCTCTCTCTCTCTCTCTCTCTCTCTCTCTCTCTCTCTCTCTCTCTCTCTCTCTCTCTCTCTCTCTCTCTCTCTCTCTCTCTCTCTCTCTCTCTCTCTCTCTCTCTCTCTCTCTCTCTCTCTCTCTCTTTTTTGAAGGTAAAGGGCCCTCCTCCTTCGGTTAAATTTCTAAGCGAATGATTTCCATACATTGGCTTGTAACAAGTAGGTTCTCTGCCGGAAACCAAAAGTACAGCCACAGCCAGTGACCGAGCTGAACCTGCTAACCTACTTCGTGCCTAACTACTGGACTAACCCCCCCCCTCTCTCTCTCTCTCTCTCTCTCTCTCTCTCTCTCTCTCTCTCTCTCTCTCTCTCTTTTTTGAAGGTAAAGGGCCCTCCTCCTTCGGTTAAATTTCTAAGCGAATGATTTCCATACATTGGCTTGTAACAAGTAGGTTCTCTGCCGGAAACCAGAAGTACAGCCACAGCCAGTGACCGAGCTGAACCTGCTAACCTACTTCGTGCCTAACTACTGGACTAACCCCCTCTCTCTCTCTCTCTCTCTCTCTCTCTCTCTCTCTCTCTCTCTCTCTCTCTCTCTCTCTCTCTCTCTCTCTCTCTGTGTGGATACACTAAAGATAAGGGGCCCTCCTCCTTTCGTTGAATTTCTAAGCGAATGATTTCCATACTTGGCTTGTAACAAGTAGGTTCTCTGCGGGAAACCAAAAGTACAGCCACAGCCAGTGACCGAGCTGAACCTGCTAACCTACTGCCTGCCTAACTACTGGACTAACCTAGACTTGGCCTACGTTACCTACCAGTCCTTAAACTACGGAACTCTGTTCTGGGACTGGACCTGACTACGCACCGGACCTCTCTGTGGACGCTTGGCACCACAGTAACCACATGCAGGCTCCTTGCGAATTGGGTCTCTTTTTTCATAATAAGAGGTAGATCTATTTTCCCGATAACAACTCAGTAAAGACTCATCTATTTTCGCAAGACTCTTTTCCTTTCTTTTCTTTTCTTTTCTTTGTAAAAGGTTGATGGTCTTGAGGTATCATCATCAATTTGACCGGCCCCAGGTAATTCAGACTCACTTCATATCGTTCAACCACTTAATTTGGATTCGAACTCAGGTTTGTATTTCAACGGTTCATGGGTGTACCAACTGAGCTACCGTCTTCACCCGAATAGAACGCCTGGTAATTATTGCCATATCTAGGCTGAAAGTTGTGCCAAATACAGCTATAATGACCGGGCGTTCTATTCGGGTGAAGACGATAGGTAGGTTCGTCGGTTCTATAACTTGTATTGTTGTAAAACTAAAACTGTTAAACAAACAATTGGTTCTTTTTTTCTAGAACTAGCTTCAACAAACAAGCAAACAAACAAACAAACAAACTCAAGATTGCATCCCCATTTTGATCTCCTGGACATACAAGCAAGCAAACAAACAAGCAAATAAGCAAGCAAATAAACCTTCATTTTTCTTATATAGGACAAATGAAGGATACCAGCTGTATAGAAGATTACTATGTTTGTAGAAGTTGCAGCGAAGGGAAGTCTGTGGCACGATGGTGATTTATGTTCTGCTCTGTTGCTCCTCTTTTTCGTCTTCTTTTGCAGCGCATTCAGCAGGAAGGTATTCAGGTTGGCGATCAATCAGAGTCTTCTGGTGTCCCACCGGATGTGACAATTTCAGCCGATAATGCAATTGCAGAATTAGAAGCTTTCACGAAGAATGAAGCAGAAGCCGATCTGGACACATCATTGTCTCTGCCAAACACTTCATCACCTGCATTGAATTTTGGGACAACTGCCACAACATCTCGTCCTGGCACACCTGGAAATCTGATCCCAGCAGCTGCCTCAACAGGCCCCGAGAACACTGCAGCTTTGGGGAGCCAAGCGACTGCCTCAGATATGTCTCTTGCTGCTGGGGAGGAGAGGCAGTCACAGGCAGCTTCTCAAAGTGGAGCGAAGATTGGACAAAAAGTTGCTTCTGGTACTGCGACTGGCACAGCACGAAGTTCAGCGAAGTCCCCAGTCCTCGCAGGAGTGGCAAGGCCAGCACCATCTTCGCCAGCTCCTGTGGGCAGTATTGCGCTTCCTCCTCCAGCTGCAACAGCCCTGGCAGGTAGTGGTGGTCTTACCAGCACTAGTGTCACAATCACTACCACTACATCGACTGCAGCTTCAAGTGGTACCGTTGCAGCTGTTGGAATTGTGTCCTCTACAGTTGTGTCTGCTGCTGCCGCTCAGGCTCGAGCTGTGAACCTCAATCAGACACAGATAGATGAGCTCAGAAGGAAGATCAAGCTTGCACAGGTGAGTGCATTCCACCTTCCTCAATCCTCCCAAGAGGTCGGTAAGCATCCCCAGATATACCATGACATCAATTAAAAATTTTAAATGGTGCGCCATTTGAATGTATAAATTTTTGTAATCTAATAATAATATTCCATTAAATCAATTTGAAATTGAAATTGTATATATGATTGATGCATGCGAAACCGTGAAGAGGACAGATCAGCAGGAAAAGGAATAAATAAAAAATACAGAGAAACGGATCGGCAGGAACAGGTATCTTTCTACACCAAAGATCCGCCGCAAATGACGTACTTCAGGTACAAGCCATGTACGTAGACAGATTGAAAGGAAGATGGGGATCAGAATCGACGTCGAGCATAGGGAAAAAGAAAGTGGGGTTTTTAATGTTTACTTCGGTCCACGCTCGCACCAAATGAAGAATGAACTTTTCCAAACGCCGGAGCAAATGATCCCCCAATCGCAAATATGTTGGAACTCCGTACAAGACCGCACTTCGGATAGAGATCTTAAATGCAGCAGATCCCGCTTGAATAGCAAATTACCACCAAAGAAGACCTATTACGCACACCCCTCTCCCTTGCTTGTATAGCAAATACCTAGGACATTTATCACCAAAGAAAGCCTATTACACACACCCCTTTCACTTTCTTTACACAAACCAACAGCTTCTCCTGCATCAGAAGCGCCACCAAAGAAGACCTAGTTTACGCCCTCCCTACTAGGCACAGTCCAAAACCAGCCAATTTGAAAGCTCTCCCTATTTTAGTGGGTTATCTCATACAGAATAAATAATCATATTCATAATATTAAGTATAGTAACACACACACACACACACACACACACACACACACACTTACACTTTTCTCTCTGTGCACTCTGCTCTCGCCCAGCAAAATGCGTCCTTCACACATCCAAAGTTTGGATGCGTGGAGAACCTGGAGATGTGGCGAAACATCAATCACGTAGAAAGGGTCATCAGGATCGTTCCCTATAGTGCCAGGGACCAAAGTACTGTGGTACCAAGTTTTGCGACATGTTATGCTCTGGTGTGAACCCTGATGACCTCCTACCCGAAGCTCTACGTGGAACGTGGAAACTCATCTGTGCTGATTTGTCTGTGATTTCTGTAGCTGTTCCGCAGTTTGTTAATCTATATATAGTTCCAAGGGCGTAATCTTTTAGTTCCAAGGACCAACTTCTAGGACATATTCTATAGTTTCAGGTGCTAACTTCCAGTTAGCTAGAAAAAGTCATAACCATACAGGACCTCCATACAACCTCGGATGGAAATGATGGCCAATGATAAGCCCTGGGGATCGATGGCATGACGAAAGAGGGTTTATTTCGGCAAAGTGAAAAGACTGTTATTGTTGCACCGTCCGTGAGCGAGAAGGAGGCATGTGACAGTTCCTAATTATTTTGCTGCCAAATACTAGTTGCGTCGCTACATCTGTCTGATGGATTTGTGAGCAACTGAGCGACAGTAGTATTCTTTTCTTTCTTTGCACTGCAGTGTTTATAACTTTATACAGCTGGCCTGACCTAAATCTTTCCATACCCACAGAGTTGGGATCAAGAGCGTCGTTACGACTGGTGCAGGGAAAAACAAGGCAAGGAGAGATCTAGGGTGAGGGAAGATCCAGGAAGCATGCGAACTCTCATACACAACAAGACAATGACTTTGATCATTGGAGGGGAACTGGGCAAGAAGTCATAACTACTGAGACGGGTGGTAGGCAGAAAGAGTAATGGGAGAGGATTGAGTGAGGAGGACCAGGGTGGGAAGAGAATGGGAAGGAGGAGGAGGTTGCATGGCTGAATACAGACAAGTAAGTGAGTAAACACTGGACCTACTAGGAATAGAGATTCAACACAAGCTTTAGAGAAATCAGAATATTTGCATTTGCATGCTGATGTTCCACATTTTGTTCAGCATTCTTTCGACAACAACCTATTGCAACGAACCTCTTAGTTCAACACCAATGAGCGCACATATTCACACCACATGCATGTATGAGATCACACGAAGTTCACACTGGAGACCAGAGAGATTAAGACCAGGTAGCGCAGCTTATGAATTCCAACAAGTTATTACAAGAGCAATAAGAGTTCAAGTCACCAGAGCTCGTCAGCACAAACCAAAGGTAACCAGTAACCAGCATAAGCTCTCAGGTAAGTTTCTCTTCTCCACTGCTCTTCTCTCTCATGTATCTCTCCTCCTTACTGGTCTTCTCCCTAGCTATTTCCTCACTGTGTCTTCTCTCCCTGCATGCATGGACACTCGCTAACTTCTACTCAAGGATATACTCTGAATACACCCACGGATATACCTACTAACCATCTATAGTCTACTACTAACACTCTGCACTGGCGCAGCTATGGCTGCCTTCTCCCTGCCAGCGCAATCTTCTTCCTCTCTCTCTCTCTCTCAGCGCAGCACTCTGGCTTCAGTGCTCTGCCCCTCACTACAGCACACAAGTGCACCAGCACTTCCACACTTCTTGCGAATGAGCAATCTGCCCAACTGGGAGGCTGGCCAGTCCTTTTGTAGTCTTGGATTGCACTTCAACTCGTGCCAGCCTCTGCTTGTTGGGGCCTGACTGGGAGGCTGGCCAGTCCTTTTGTAGTCTTGGATTGCACTTCAACTCATGCCAGCCTCTGCTTGTTGGGGCCTGACTGGTTCCGGTACCACATCCCCACGGCCTGTCTCATTCTCCGCCGAGCCCCTATCAAGGAGCTTGTAGAACGACTTAAGAAGTATGGATTTGTAAGACGCACTTACAAAGGTTATATCCTTCCTATGCCAATAAGAATTATGATCCCGATGGACCACGCAGATATACTTGCAACCTTCCCGAATTTCCATAGGTCTGCTGCTGCTTGGGCCTTTGAGTCATGACTTTCGATTTTAGCATATGGTTTTGACCGTGGATTGTGACTCCTGCCTCTGAGACACTACTCTTGCCTATGGGACTGCCCTTTCACTCATGGGATGTCTCTTCAATACGAGTTTTCATTATGAGTCGTGACTTTTGCCCCTGAGATGTGACTTTTTGCTGGGTGCCTGTTGGACTGGACTGCTGAGGTACCCGACTGTGACCTTTCTAAATTTGATTAATTCGGCCTTTCTTGGCCAGGGCCTGTGACCCGAATTTGGGGCCTGTATCGTGGAAGGACTTTCACTATCGTCGATTTACTTCTATTCGTAGTTCTGGTTATTAAACCACCACCACCTTTCACAGACAGACTCGAAGCGCAAAGATAACCTATATGGTATATACTGCATTTGTTCGGAGGCCAGGCGCCACTGGACCAAAATGGCCGGCAGCACCAGCCAAATCGGGAAAAAAAAAAGTTGCGCTGGCGCTTGAGCAAAGCTTGGCACACAGTTCTTTTCCACCTTCACACAAAGAGGGCTCGGATGTAGCGGTGGTTTGAAAAATGAAAAATAAAAATTATCTTGGTAATAGTTGGTGTAATAGTTATCCAGATATGACACATGCTTCCTGCTTCTCTGTCTGCTTCACACAAAGAGGCTATTGGGCCTCGTCATACCACTCTTGAAATGTGCAAAATGCATTTGTCTTTTTCACATTTCGAGGGTGGTGTGGTGACGCCCATTACCTCTAAACTCTGGTTCGGAACAGAAGAACTCAAAAAGTTTCTTAAACCACAAGTACACCCGCACCTGATGTAAACGAACCTGAATTTCACTGTGCGCTGAGTTTTGATGAGCCTGGGTCCCGTTGTTGTTTCTTTTTTGGTACTCCTCGAAAATGAACAACGTAAAGAAATAAAAGAAACAACAAAACAAAAAATGCAACAACTCTAGGGATGAGAAAGCAGTCGGATACAGAATCTGGGGTCAGTATGAGAGAGAAACAGAATCTGGCGTCAGTATGAGAGTCTGCCCTCAGTGAGGGCATTACAGCTACGATTTCAATGTGGAAGTTACTTTCAGAAATGAAAAACACACACAAAAAAAGCAACAACAATTTGGACGTGAAAGCCGTTAGATACAGAATTTTGTGTGCCCTGCCAGTGAAAAGAAAACAAAAGATGGAAAAACAACACAAACAAAAAAAGGCTAATACTGGCCATAGTCGCAGGTAGATTTGTTCCTGAGTTAACTAGTGTGAGCACACCTCCTTCACGGCCTTCCCCAACGTCGTTCCTCTCTTTGCAGTTGCTTTTTTTTTTCTTCCTGGTTTTGGAGGGCACCCATACGGCCCCACCATTATCTTACTGCCGAGCCTGCCCCGACCCCGATCTTTTCAGAATGAGTCGTTTTCAATGAATTTCTTTTGTCTGGGCGCTGTACTTGTGCTTTAAGATGTTTGCACTGTTTTAGAATCCCCGGTGGGATTGGTTTGGTTTTCTTATCATCTCTGCCTGATCTCTCCACACTTGGAACAATGGTCTCCAAAACCATAGGTTAAGGGTTCGAATCCCTTTTCTCCTGTAATGTAATTATAATTAATGTTCCTATGTTCTTCTCCTGTTACTGTTTTTGGTTGTGGTACTTCTTCTGGTTGCAGCACCAGGAGCAAATGGCGCGTACAGGAACACGAAGGCGGCTTCAGCGCCCGCCTATTGAACCTCCTGTCAGTGCCACTTCCTTAGCAACCGGTGCTGGTATGCTGGATGTCGAGTCAGACCTTGCTGTGTCAGGTGCGGGACAAGCAACCAGAAAGCGGCCTGCAGGAATCGAATCAGAAGTAGGTGGGGACTTAGAAGGACCTGGAGAAAAGGAGGACGAAGGAGAGGTCGAGGGTGAGCCTGGACCACCGTCAAAGCGAGCCCGTCCAGAAGATGGTGAGCTGTCTGCCGAGGAAGGAGAAGTTCAGAATGAAGAGTTTGCCGCGGAGGAAACCATGTCACCATTGAACGAAGGACTGTGCAAGCCCTCTCAGGATGAGAGAGACAGATCTGATGACATGGAAGTGCCCGCTCAGAAGCGTTCAAGGTTGGATGAGCCTGGAGCAGAGGAGAGGATAGACCTGGGGGCGCGGGAATACTGTGAAGAAAACCAGGGTGCTGAGGAGGTTGCAAAGGTGGACAGGGATTCGACCGATGGAATGGAACAAGATGGTATGATGTCGCCTGTGGCTGCAGGCTGTGGGCCCGGGGGTGGTGAAAGAACTGTTAGCACCACGACACAGGTGGGAGAAGTGGAGACAGAAGCTGCAAGACAGGGAATGGAGACCCTGGCGGAAGAAAAGGAGGCCGGGGAGACGCGCGATGATGGTGACCAAGAAGAACAAGCAGTTGTGGAAGGACAGGAGATGGTAAGAGAGAGGACCCCAGCAGCGCAGGTTGCTGCTGGTGAGGATGAGGAGGAAGGAGATGTGCGGCACTCTGCTGGTGAACCAGAGTCAGATAGCGGTGAATCTCTCGTGTTTGTGGAGGATTCAGAGATCGCCGGCTCTGATGCAGAGGATAATGCCACAGAAATGACTGTGGACCATTCGACGGAAGGTGTCGAGCATACAGATGGGCACCAGGAAAGTCAGGACAATGGTGAGCCCCAATCTGAGGGTGAGGTGAATCTCCCAAGGAGTCAAGATGGGGGGGACACTGGAGAAGGAGAGGAGGGGAGCGCCATCGCAAAGACCCCAGTACGAAGCACCCGGGCAGCAGTTAGGGCAGCCCTTGGGCTCAGAGCAGGTCGAGGAAGGGGCAGGGAGGGAGCCCACTCCCCTGGAATTGCAAGAGGACGAGGGGAGCAATCTGGCACAGGCAACGCTGTAGGGGAAACGGAGTCCGCGACGAGAAGCAGGATTATCAATCTGAGGGCCAGGAGGAGCACAGAGACCAGCTCTAGTTCCCGACAAGGCACAAGCAGAGGAGCAGTCCCAACTGAACCAGCAGGAGCAGGAAGGGCACAGCCTGGCAGAGGAGCCAAGGTAAGAATCCGTTTGCATCTGAATGCCTTAGGAAAACACTTCGTGTACGAATTGAGAAATGGACGAAATGGCTCAATTTTTTTGTTTTTTTTTTAAATTAATAATAGAGGAAGTGACCAATGGGCCTATCTCAGCTGGTACACGAAGCAACTGTTGAAATACAGAACCGAGTTTGAATCCAAGTGGAACTGGATGAATGAAATTCTTGAATTACCCGGGACCAGCCAGTTGGACCATGATATCTCAAGGCGGTTGCCCTTTAAAAAAAAGGGGGGGAAACAAAAAATAAAAATAAAAATAAAGGAAGAGAGAGAAAAGATAGAAAGCTAAGGGGTAAAATAGCTAATGTTAAACCAATGACCGGAATCCTTAAATAATAAATAGTAAATACTAAATAGTAAATACTAAATAGTAAATACCCCATATCAGATGATCTCTGGCAGATACTCAGAAGTCGTCAAACCTCAGTAGTCTCATTATCTGCATGAAAGTCTCCAAATCATGAAGTGATATCTCACACAGTAACTCATTACCATCACAAGAAGAGAGTGGAGGGGGAACAGACAAAGGAGAAGAAGAAAGATCACATAATAATCCTTTAGATCCCTCTTCGTCTCTGGGCTTCTTCCCTCTCCACATCAACAACGATAATAAGTATATTCCTGATCACACACAGTAGTGCCACGCGGCACTTTAACTCGTGAAGACCATGAAGACATGGCAGATTCGAGTGTCGACGTCAACCTCAGGTGAGTACCCGATCTCCTTCATCCACAGATCCCGATCTTCCTCCTTCACGCAACCAGTCACCTCATGTGGTCAGCGTAGACAGTGCCACATCAGCAATCGTGATAGGTGGCATGTGCCACATCATCAGTGAAGACCATAGGCAGCGCCACATCAGCATGAAACCAGAGGCAGCGCCACATCAATGTAGAGTAGAGGTAGTGCCACATCAGCATGCAATGTAGACCAGAAGTAGCGCCACATCAGCATGCAATGTAGACCAGAGGTAGCGCCACATCAGCATGCAATGTAGACCAGAGGTAGCGCCACATCAGCATTCAATGTAGACCAGAGGTAGTGCGACATCAGCATGCAATGTAGACCAGAGGTAGCACCACATTAGCATGCAATGTAAACCAGAGGTAGCGCCACATCAGCATGCAATGTAGACCAGAGGTAGCACAACATCAGCATGCAATGTAGAGGTAGCGCCACATCAGCATCCCACCTCAGCAAGGCTGGCGCAATAATGCAGAAGCGCCAGCATGCTGCCTCCACCTCGTGCAGTCGTCCGCAACGCCTGTGCACAGCCAGCGTGTAGCCAGCATCGCGCCAGCATGAAGCCAGCGTCTAGTCAAAGTCGAGCCATCGTCTAGTCAAAGTCGAGCCATCGTCTAGTCAAAGTCGAGCCAGCGTCAACGCAGCATAGCAAGACTGAATGCTTGACTCACTCGAGGCCACCCTCAAGTAACATTGGTCGAGGCTGTCCGACGTCGGGTGCTTTTCCCACAGTCGTCCAGATTGACTCATAGCTGAGGGCCCGGATTATGCAGTTGCAGACTTCTCCCTTGGACCTGATGCTGTTTGGGTACCTGCATACAAACAAGTGTGCGCGCTTGACCAGCGGCCCGGGCTAGGTACCTTTGGACTTTGACTGTTGGGATCCCGACAGTTGACCAAAGTCAACTGCCGCACGTCCAGGCCTTGAGTCCTCGTGTGTGGTTTTTTGCCCCTGTTTCAGCCTGGCCTGAGGGCGGCCGAGTCGGCCCTCAGGTTTTCCATGAGACATATGGCATGGGTTATTGCATTCTTGCAGGCTCAGTTTTCGAGTTCCATCGCAGAAAATATATCAATTCTCCGTTAACTCACGTTCATATGCAGCAACAATATCAGGAGCAGTAGGTAGGAGTTCTTTCCTACTAAACCATGTGGCTTCAGATGGAGGTTGGGACTTGAACGTTACCTTGTACTACTTCTGAGGTCGTCCTTTGCCACCTGTAGAGAAATAGCCATGTTCCAATATTTTCTCAACTTCATAGCCTCCGTTCATAGAAGGTGGAATCATAGATGGCCTATTTGGAATATTATCACTTTCTACATAAGGTAGCAGCTTAGACGCATGGAAGATAGGGTATGTCCTTAGGTGTCGAGGTATATCTATACGATAGGAAGGTCCCTCTTCACCTCCAGTTACTTTGAGAACTTCCCAGGGTCCATAGTAGACAGGTAGCAGTTTCTGAGACATTTTCTTCTTAGGAAAACTCTTTAGACTTGTCGAGCTTTTGTATGGTCTGGCGAAGCTTAGGGTGGTCCCCCACAGAATTCAAACACGGCAGGCGTTAACCCAGACAAAGTCCCCTTGGAATTGTCAAGGACGACAATGTTTATTAGCTTGTTGAATCATTTGCAGTTGGGCTTTCTGTATGTTTTCCTCACCTTCTTAATGTTTTCTTCATACAAGACTGTGAATCCATCCCTACCTGGGGGTAGCCTACAAATCTGCTCCCTCGTTAATGCATCAATGGGACGCCTAGGCTTTCATCCTTTATGCAGTGCATTAGGTGTTCTACCTGTAACAATATGTATACTGTTGTTATATGCACTAGCAATTTTGGGCAAGTTCTCATCCCAATCAATCTGGTCAGGACGGACATACATTCGCAAAAGTTGTTGACAGAGATGATTCATTTGCTCAGTTTGGCCATTCGTTTCAGGATGTCTTCCTGACGACATGGTCAACCTGGTTCCATAGACTTCCATCAACTTTTGTCATTGTAGGCTGGTGAATCGAACATCTCTATCTGATATGATGGTTTTGGGAAATCCATACTCAGAGACCCATCGAATTTGAAACTTTTGAATGATTAGTTCGGTTCTAGCTTCAGCAGGCAAAGGAATGAACATAGCATACTTAGAGAATCTATCGACGATTACCATTACCTGAGTATTGTCATTTCGACTCTTAGTGAGGCTCATAAAGTCAATAGAGATAGACTCGCCTGGCTCACTTGGAATAGGCAGTGGTCGCAATAGTCCCATCGGATTCTCATGTAAGGGCTTGTTCCTTTGACAGATAAGAGAAGTTCGCACATACGTTAGTATATCTTCCTTCATTCCTTTCCAGTCAAAACGTTCACGCACATCGACATACGTCTTCTTAAAACCAAAGTGACCTTCCGCATCATGGCATTCCCCAATGATTAGACTCTTGATTGGTTCTAGGTGAGGAACACACAATCGTTCTTCGGTTTTATCCACCAAGAAGAGTAAGCCATCAGTCGTACAATATTATGGAAACAACTCAGGGTTCTTTCGTAGAGTTCCTGTGATAGGATTCCACATAGGATCACTCCTATAACCCTGGCGGATTTGTTATTTCAGTTCACTTCCAATATCGAGATGAGAGACAATAGTTCCAAAGAAGTCTGCATACCTGGACAAAGCATCCGCAATCACGTTAGACTTACCTTTGATGGTTTTCACCTTAAAGTCAAATGTGTCAAGGAATGCGAACCACCTTACCAACTTGTCGCAGAGCTTAGGTTGAGTCTTGATCCATTTCAAAGTAGAGTGATGAGAGGAGACAATGAAACGCCTTCCTAACAAGTAGTGCTTCCAGGTATCTAGTGCAGCAACTAAGGCATACAATTCCCTTTCATAGGTGGAGTTGGCCACTTTCTCTGGCGGAAGTCTTCTGGACATAGACTCAATAGGTCTATATCTCTTATCGTCGTCTTGTTGTAGCACAGCCCCAATCCCATACTGACTTGCGTCAATTGGTCAGCAATCTTTAGGATAGGGTAGTGATTCAAAGCATATTTTAACCTTCTAAACAATGACTCACAGTCTTTGTCCCACAACCAAAGCTTTTCCTTTTTCAGCAGTCTTCTCATAGGAGCATTTATCAAGGAGAAGTTTTTGAGAACTTCCTATAGTAGCTAGCGAGTCCTAGGAAAGATCTTAGTTCAATTATGGTCTTAGGTTGTGGTCAATCTTTGATTGCTGTAATCTTTTTTTGTCTTGGTCTTAGTCCGTCTTCGTTCACTATATGCCCTAAGTATAAGACTTCAGGCTTAGCAAACTCGGACTTCTTCGGATCAATTTGAAGTTGCCCTCGCGCAACTTCTGCAACACCATTCGTAAGTGTTTCTCATGATCTTCCAGTGCTCTACTGTACACTAGAATATCGTCTAGATAGACTACTACAAATTGATCAAGCCATTGTCGGAACAACTCGTTCATGGACCTTTGGAAGGTCGCAGGTGCGTTGGTCAAACCGAAAGGCATCACCACGAACTCATAGTGATCATACCTAGTTTGGAATGTCGTCTTGTGTTGATCCTCAGGAGCCACCTCGATCTGGTGGTACCCTGACTTTATATCAATCTTGCTAAAATATCTGCACCCCTGCAACTAATTCAATAGATCGTCAATACGCGGAAAAGGCTTCACGTTTTTGACAGTGACGGAGTTCAGCCCACGATAATTTATACATAGATGAAGTTCACCTTCCTTTTTGGGAACAAATAAGACAGACGCAGCATAAGGAGATGAGCTAGGGCGAATCCATCCCTTGTCAGTAAGTTCTTGCAACTACTTTCGAAGTTCCTCAAGTTCCCTAGGAGACATTCGATAAATGGGACCCTTGGGAATCTTGCTTTCGGGAATGATCTCGATGGTGTGCTTAATAGCACACTCAGTAATTCCCATCGGCTCAGTTTGCAAGTCCTTGTATTCGTCAAGAAGTTTTTTCTATAAAAGGTGGATAGGATGAGGAACACTCACCTACTCGCTCGACAAGCACCATCATCACCTCCTGATTTAACTTTTTCTTAACTACCATCGAACGAAAAGTTGGATAACTCGTATAACAGAAAGACAAAGTAGAGTCAGAGCCAGACCTATGATATAACTTTATAGTGCGTAATTCGGACTTTTCGTCCTTGAGTTTGACAATTTTATTTTTGAACCTAACCTCTGGGTCGGCCTCCTCG